GGAATGCAAATTAAATCATAAACATCATATTATTTAAAATTTACATAAACATCTAATAAACATTTCAGGTTCTCTTCGGACCATCCTCAATAAATATTTTGACTTCTAATTTGAACTCGAAGAACAATTCAATCAATTTAATTTGCAGATACATTGTTCACTGATGATGGCCCAAAACATTTGAATTTTATGTGAAAAAAAAATCGAAAAACAAAAACTCAACGAATAATCATTAAAAATAAAAAATGATCATATAATAATAATAATAATAATAATAATAATAATCATGTATAAAATAATAATAAAAAATCTACAAATATAATCATACAAGTACATGATCGACATACGGTTATATATCATATTTTATCGCGATCAGCTGCTGGTCCTGTTGATTAGATATCGACGGCGTTTCTCGTTGCAACGGTTAAATTGTGACGACACAATTGTGGATAACTGGAAATAACCTGAAATAACCTCATATTGCCCTGTGCGAGGCAACTCCGTGTGTTCGATGTATTATGCGGTGGCCAAGTTATAACTATTTATAAAACCAGCTCGTGACTGGCGTACTTCCTTTAAGATGATAGAGCAAATATTACTCGTGGCAAATCAGGCGTATTTCGCTGTTGCGTCTTTCAGAATTAATTGAAATCTCGGATATCTCGTTGCCTCCAATGGAGCGGTCCTGTTTATGAGACTTTCTCCTGCCGATACATTAAACATGGTAAATTTAACGATGAAAACAATGAAAATATGTGTCTTACAGAAATCACATGTTCCAGTTATATTGATTGTTTAAAACTTTTTTTATTTCTTTAAATGTATCTTTTGAACTTATCTCTTCTCTATGTTTATGTCTTGTATTTTAATTTTGTGTTTAATGACATTTCTTTCAGGCTCTTCTAGGAGCACAATTGGTCATCACCCTTGTAATGGTCAGTATTATACAAAAATTGAGTCCACATTTTTCCTTCGCTAGGTGGATCTTATGTTCCACAGGGTATGTATCTTCATGTATAATTATGGAAATAATGGACAGTAATGGTATAGTAAGATCTATCATCTTTGTTTTTCTGTTTGCATAGATTGACACGATATCTGTATCCAACAGATCAGCAACTCAGAGCATTAGCTGGTGTGCCGAAAGAGAAACCAAAGAGAGGAAAACACAACGAGAACGGCAAAGTGGGAGATGTGTTTCACGTCCCTAGAAATTTAGATATCAAACTTGAAAGTGCAAAAATAACTATTCTCGATGTAGTGAACTTAAAATATTATACGGAATATCAGTGGCTATTGGACTTCTCTGTATACGCTATCATTGTTTATATATTAACAGAGGTTAGTACTCTTTAATTGCCACTCTTTAATTAATATGAATATTTATCTATATGAACAAAAATATCTTTTTTAAATATTATCTTTAATGGCACATTTTAACTAGTATTTATATTCAGTATAGTTGAGAGAGATCATGTTTTATATTGTCTAAAATTTCTCCTTTATCACTCAACAGGTGTACAATTATTTGTATCCAATCAAAGATGAAATTAATCTCAGTATACTTTGGTGTGTGGTGGTTTTGGGCTTTGCATTGTATCCTTTGAATTAAAATTTTTAACAGAAAATATGTAAAACTTCCTATTTTCTAAGGGATGAAAATCATGTTACATTGCTTCCTTATGTAATTTATAGTAAAGTGCTACTTTCCCTTTGGATACAATATTTCAAAGGTGAAGAGAGTGTTGGTGAAAGATCCACGTGCATCGTTACTGGATTTGCATATCTTCTTATTGCTATGATGGTACTCATAATTGATGAAAATAAGTTGGAAATTGGATTGGAAAAAGCATATACGAGTTTCAATCATAGTGCTTCTCGTTTTTTAGATACTCAAGGGCTTTCTTCGACGTAAGTTTAATTAAAAATTGAATAAATAATTTTAAATCTGTTTCATTGTGATTATATAAGATATTGTTAGTGAAAGAATATTTCAGTAATAGATCTTTATCATTTATCAATTTTAAATAAATACATTTTTTAAGAATAATTTAATACAGTATAACTAATATTAAAGATTAAATAATTTTATAATAATTTCTATTATTATATTGTAAATAATATTTTTGTTTTTGTTACAATAATGTTACTAATATATTTAATATAGGGGACCAGCCTCAAAAATTGTTTTAAAGTTTTTTCTTGCTATATGGTGCGGTTTATTGGGATCTTTGTTTACCTTCCCGGGATTAAGGGCGTCAAAAATGCATTGGGATACGTTGAGGTAAAATAAAACTCAATTAATTTAATTGAAATTGAATGCTGATTATATATGTAGAGATAATTGCAGGTATTACAAAGATAATAAATTATTAGTGCTAATAGCAAATATTAGTTATGCCTCGCCACTTTTGTTGGTAAGCCTATGGATTACACCTATAAGTAGGGATTATTTGACTGTTCGAATATTCAGTGGCATGACTGCTCCATTGTAAGTTTGAGAGAAAATAACAAATTAATTAATATCTAAATAAATTGAAAAAAATTGAAAAAATTTTGTTACAGAATGACAGTAGCAAGGTTTGAAAGTTTGAGATTGACTATTATTGTTGTTGTCAGTTTATTAAAAATTGTACTCATGCCGATATATCTACAATCTTACTTAAATCTCGCCATTCAGAGATTAGAAATACAAAAGAAAGAAGCTGGCCGAATAACTAATGTTGATTTGCAGAAAAAGGTTTGTATCATAATATTATGAATTTATATAATTATTTTAACTGAAAACTTTGTTTTTTTGTTAAATAATGAAACAAGTTTCCTTTATTGTTGCAGATTGCAGCTGTATATTATTATCTATGTGTAGTGGCGCTTCAATTCGTTGTTCCTATAATTATATGTTTATTTTTTACGTTTTTGTACAAAACACTTGGTATGAAAAATATTGTGAAATATATAGTTTATTTACAAAATATATATACATTATATATTTTTTAATTATATCAGGTGGTTTTACCTGGGAAGGCATTTTAAAAGGAACGTTGGAGGAAGAGTGCCCAGCGGATGAATTACCGAAGTCACTATCACCTACAGTTAATATTGATAATACCGACAAGACTGTTATACAAACTGCTGAAGAAGTTCAACTCGCGCTAGGTTCATTGAAACAAGTAATGTCTTAAGATATTCGTTAAAAAAAATTAAATTTTCTCACAGAAACTGACATTTTTAAGCAATGTTTCAAACAATAGTACAAAGAAAATGTCTTGTTTATTATAGATATTTACCACAGATGTGTACAGAGGCGTCTTAGGACTAGCGACGTGGTGGAGTTGCTTCGCATTATTATCGACCAGTGCCATGGGCATGTTTTATCAATCGTACTTTTCGAACATGTGAAATGATTTGTTGGGAGAAAAAATTCAGATGTCACATCGCACAAATTTTCATTAATTCACAGATCAATCATTCATTAATTAGACATAGCGTTGTTCATTGAGATACATATTTTCAGATTATCTATTTTAACGTCTATCGCCAAATAATTAAGATAATGGCTATCGATAACGTAAGATTTTTTAATGCATATGGCAATAAGTAGTACTACAGTTGTATTGTAAATAAAGACATTCTGGGACTTAAATAAAAATTATAATTGCGTTAAAAACATGATTATAGTATATATATATGTAATAACGTGTATTTACGTAATATATAAATAAAATAGAATTAAATTACAATGTTGAATATTATTGTAATTGTTTGCTATTTCCATCAAATATATTGAAGATTATAATCAAAAATATATTATTAAAAGGATATCTTATATTCGCAATAAAATAAATATTCGCTATGATATAAATGCGATTATCACTACTGATTAGATACTTGAAATTCTATAATCGTTCATCACATCGCAATTAATACTCACCATACGCTCACACTATTGTTGCATTAAGCATTTCGAAAGTAACTTTCTCTGTTATCAGCTATCTTGATCTTGAAAGAAATTATTTTGTTTGCAGTCTTAATGTAAAAAAATATTCATTTTTTTCTGCTATTAAAAATAGATGATATACTGATTGCGAGAACCTTGTCCCATGGCTTTCGTCTGTTATATTTTAAGCAAACTATTACGCGTTGTCTGATTACAATTCATGGATTGTTCGACATTTTACATCCCGGAGAAAGTGTCTCGATGAAATGATGTCGATCGGATGCATCTCACGTTTCGTACTAGCCGTTTCCGTGGTATATAGTTCCCCATGAGGTTTCATCGCGCCGTAATACCGTCGTGATTTTTGCCAGCGATAATACTGTTCCTCTTCATTGTACGTTACAAGATTGATCATAACGATTTTTCATAATGTTGGTGAGTGAGACAAACAGAACACATACTTTTTATGTCTCATTTTTCAAGTGTAACGGAACGTTTCGTTGAAAGCTCAAATTTTAAAAATGTGCTCTAAGAATTAAAAAAATTTCACGTGGACACAATAAAACAAAAAGTCCAGGAAAGCTTTCGAAAATATGAACGTTTTAACATATTGATAATGAATTAGAAAAATGAATTATTAAAGTAAAATGTATATATGTGATCCAAATTCTAAATCTTTGAGAAATATTTTATATAAATATCGATATATAGTAATTTTTACAATCAGGGGATAATTATAATATAACATTATTATAACAATGAAATACGATAATTTCTGTAATAGTACTTGATAATTATTCTTAATTGTTATCACAATTATTAAATTAAATAAGAATAATAATAATTTAATTTTTATAATTATCAACGTATCTTTGTAATAATGTCCTTTTTTTAAAGATATTTATTATATAAGTATAAATATCATCTTTCAGAAACTCATTATATTAAGCTAATTAAATATTTGTCTCGACTGATGTCAAAAATTGCAAATTGCAGAAATACGCGATTGTCTTAAGTGCGATGTATTGTTTCATCACGGCCGAGCCACCGATTCAAGCTGGGGTGAAGCCGACAAACGTAATAGGCAGTTCAGAGCAACATACCTCCTTCAGTTTCGTCCGACCGGGATTAACGCAAACATCATTCGCATTCGCTGGACCTAGCTCCCATCAATCGTTCGCCTCCAGCATCGGTAATCCTCAGCTAATTCAAAAGGTTCAACCGAGTATTGCACAAGCCCTCGCCCAAAGAAACCCTGGTTTAGGTTTGTGCTTACAATTAATAAACAATATTCAAAGTTCTCTTTTATTAAAAAAGTTCTCTTAGTGTTCTTACACTAAGTATTTTTAATTTTATCATTCACATCTAATCATAGCGATAATTAATGATTGCTTAGTGAAAAACAAGTCGGAAAATCTTGAATTTTTTTCTTTATTTCTTTTTTTTCGATGTTTAATAAAGAAAATATTATTAAATAAAGTCCATGTACATACACTCACATAATTATCTCATCTATATTTTCACGCATACATGAAACGCGCCACTCACAAAAGCTAAAAAGCATATTATTTAAAGAGAGATTGAATGAATTCACTTTAATAATATATCTTTCATTGTGCAGGATATTACGCACTCGGTCCCGCTGCGAGTGGGATCCTTCCGAATTTTGTGCCCGGATCGTTGGTGTATCAGGCTCAAACTGATCCCGCGGTCGCATTAACGTATGCCCAGCAGCAGCCGCAGCAAGCGTACTTGCAAGCGTATCAGCCGAATGCAGCAATTTATCAATCGCAATTGGCGCAACTACTCGCCCTTCGTCAGGCGCAATTGGCACAGACTCAACAAGGACAGCTGCACGCGATTCCATCGGAACAGGTAGGTTCACTTTTGTCAGGAGAGAAAAGTGAAAATTCAAACGATGCATTTATGATATACGAGGCCTTATTTTATTATTTTATTTAATTATTTTCGAAAAACGTACGCATATTTTTATATGTGATATTTTTTGATAATACAGTTCATGTTTGCCGACAACAATCGTATATCGCATCTTATTTCATTGAATTATCTAACTGAAATAAAATATACTAATAAATTATAATAAGTAATTTGTTTGAATAGTACTAATTAAATATTTATTAAATCTAGATATATTTATTTAGTAGAGAATCATTAACTTAATTTAATAATTTTTTTTGTTAAGTAAATATTTGCTGTAAGTAAATGTTTAGTTAGCACTATTCAATTAAATATTTATTAAAATTTAGTACATTTTTTCTTAGTGTAGTAAGAGATAATAATTCTCATATATGGTGATTATTAAACGTTTGATTATTAAATATGATTTCTGTTAATAGTAATTGTGCACAGGTACCTGAGGCTCAGATTCAGTTGCAGCAGAAACAGCAAACGGAACAACAATCGCAAAATTTGCTGGGTATCGCTTATTCATCTGCCCCATCGGTCGCGCGCGTGAAAGTCTCTGGAAATGGATACAAATTCGACTTCTGATCCCGATTATTACAGCAACAGTACAGCGCTTATTGTAACAAAAACAATTTCTGCTCATACAATTTCTCAAATACAAAATTGCATTCAAATACACATACAGGGTGGGCCATTTAAAATTTCGAATTTAATTTGGCTCTAAAAAAAAAACGCATGAATATTTTTCAAAGTTTATGGCTTTATTGGAAAGGCTTCATACCGAGATCTTTATTCAAAATTCTTCTCAAAGAAGTGCGTGAAATGTTCAAGTTTTGAGAACGATGGCGAGTTGATGTTGATGATTGTTCAAGCACACTCTGACTAACAGCAGCAATGTTTTCGGTTGACCTTACTGGACGAGCATGTGAACGAGTTGCTTTATCCAATAAGGATCCAGTTTGCCGAATTCGCTTCACAAATTGATCCACAAACTGCGTTGAAGGCATTTCTTTTCTACCAAATTTTCCACGTAAATTTCTTACAGTTTGGGTTGAAGACTCACCACTTTGGAAGTAAGTTTTCAATATTTCCCAATTTTGTTCAAGCGTATAGCGACTCATTTCATAAATGTCAAACAAAAAACTAAATTTCTGATACGTCATAAATGTTATTGCGCCTTTCAAACTCAAAATAACCGGTAGTTGAAATTCCAAACGCTAGATGGCCCACCCTGTATATGCACATTTATTTATTATTAAAAAATCCTATAAATAAGTTAACTATATATACATACTTTGTATATTAAATTATATTAAATACAATATTTAAAAGTCGTAATTAGAGCTATTTTGTTATATAAATAATCAGCCACAGTTTAAAATAAAATTTATAGATATCTCGTTCAATAAGTTCTTAAATAAATATAGTATTCTAGATATTCTAGCGCATTATTAGGATATATTAGTCACTTATACATATTGTTATCACAAATGAAAAAAATTAACTTTGCAAGGCCCCGGGGGGATTCGAACCCCCGATCTCCTGTTTACTAGACAGGCGCTTTAACCAACTAAGCCACGGCGCCTACGAATTCTTTTTCGACCTATCAACTCCATAAGTACTTTCATGACATTTCAGCTTCATAACTGCATCGATTGCCTCTTTATTATATTATATTATTATTATTAATCAAAACATAATTCAGATCACAAATTATTTATTCCATTAATTATACAATTTATTTTGATTCATAGATGCATAAGGTCTCTGAAAGATATTAAAAAGATACGAAGAGGATTGCATTATAATTGAAGTCAAATTAAAAATTTCACACATATATACAATAATAAATATACAATAATAAGTGCGCGTAATTTGAACTTAAAAATAACATTGCATTTTCTTTTCTGTATTTATTTATATTTAAAGTATCCTTATGCTGGATATATTTGGCATAAAACATTACATTTCGACTGTATTTTTGGATCAGAAATAAAAGAAAAAATAATAAAAAAAGAGATCTCCCCGACGGGGAATCGAACCCCGGTCTCCCGCGTGACAGGCGGGGATACTAACCACTATACTATCGAGGAATTTTTATTGGTAATTTCAAAATATATGACATCTATTAAATTACAATAAATAGCTATATAATAATAAGTATTAAATACATATTAAATGCTTATATAATTGTGCAAAACATATAAAAATAACTTAAAATTTTCATTTAATTACGTCATCATGATTCATCCTGTAATAACGGATATTTTTAAATAAATCTAATAAAAATTGAATTATTATTCCGCATTAACAATTACATTAACGAAAAAAAAAAAAAAAAAAATAATAATTCCCCTGGCCTCCATTTTGCAAGAAAAAAGAACATTCAGTAGCAAAAATAATATTCCTCATTATTCACGCAGTCGGTAGGACTCGAACCTACGCTCCCAGAGGGAATCTGATTTCTAGTCAGACGCCTTAACCACTCGGCCACGACTGCTACGCGTATTTACCTGCTGGAAATTCAGATATCTTGTAATGCAAATATTTCAATATATATATCAAGTATTAATTTTATTATATATATGAATGTGTGATATATTATACACAGTAATTGACTCGATACTAATCGTATTTTCAGATCCAAAATATATTTAATATTATCCAATTCAGTATTCGCGATACGGGTATAGAGATGTGCTTTTGCGTCATTAAACTCCGCTGTTGTAACAAAAGGTTATAATAAAAATGGCGATCACGTAAAAATTCACGGAAAGCGTTGACAAAAATTAACGATTGACCCCGACGTGATTTGAACACGCAACCTTCTGATCTGGAGTCAGACGCGCTACCGTTGCGCCACGGAGTCTTGGCGGTGAGTCGCTCCCGAGTAAGAAATACATTCGTATCTCGATAAATCAGATTATGAATGATCTCATTTCTTATCTTACGTGTCACTGCATGCCACGAATTTTATATCGAACAATAATAAGAATAATTCTTGTAAACTTCTGGCATTAAAGTTTTTAAATGAAAAACAAAATAATTCCAAATATCGTAGTTCTTGCATTCGAAATACAATTACCTAAAAAAATTCTTTATTTCCTTATTTAAATTATTTTGTTTTTTAATAATATGCATGATATTTATACCGCAAGGAAAATAAAGAATGGCACTTGTGGATAAATTTTAAGCTTCTCTGTATTTATGATGACACGCACAAGAACGTATTTTTACAGACTGGCATTCGCGTTTCGCATTTGGCCATCCGATCCTCAAACTCGAGGCACTTTGCGGCGTGATGCAAAAGAAACATTAAGGACGAGAGAACAGTCTTGTATAATAAAGCATAACATATATGTAAAATAAAAAAATGGAAAAGTTCTTCATTTCCTTCCTTTCCAAAATAGAAGGTTCTAATTGGTTGACTTTCTTATGCTTTATGCATTATGTATACAAAGTGCTCCAACTTTAACACACATTCTACAATAAGCCATTAGTAATAAATCAGAAGTCAGAAGCTAGAAATTGACCAATCATAGTCAATTGTTCTTCTTACATTTGACTGTTAATGATTTATTGTAGAATAGCCATAAAGCTGATTCTACAATGAGTTGATAGTCGGAAATCTTAAGTCTCAACCAGTTTTAATCTAAATAGATGACTATGATTTTTCGCATCTACTAGTTATTAATGGTACAGCGAGTCATTTAATTCGACTAATGAGAAGGAATAAAATCGAATTTGGTCAATCTTGAGAAAATCGATAGTCTTAGTCGTACAAGTTGGCCAACTTCACCAATTCACCGATAAGACTAAGGACTATCGACTACCGACTCTTTGTAGAATCAGCTTAAGATTACCGGATTCATGGTCGGATCTTTGACGCTAACAACGTTAGCTCGACCCAAGCGTCCCGAGTGTACGGGTTATACGATCGATACATGGACATGCGCTACTGCATGTCCCCCGCTTTGCGAGCGCTCGCTTCTTCGCATGTGTGCGTGCCGCCGTGAGAAATTGAACGCGCACATCAGCCACGTCGCCACATGCAGTGCGGCGAGGCGAGACGATGCGAGGAATTGGTGCGCGGCCGATCGTTGATCATCGTCACCCCAGCGCGGCCGGCCCGGCCCAGCCCGGTGACGAGCACGTGGTGCGTGCTCACATCCCGCATGCGAGCACCGCGTTATCCGGACGGCACGCAGTGATAGGAGCTCGTATGGCGCAGCTGTTCTCCCTACGTTGAACAGAGTTTCGCGCGGGTTGTCTCGCCGAGCCCCTCCTGCTACCAGGGAAACACATCGCACAAGGAGGCGATCTCGAGCTCTCTCCACTCTCTCAATCAAGTCGGCCGGCTCACCGGCGATGTTCCATCATACCTTGACTTTCGCCCGTGAGGAATTTTTTCAACAGGAACGCATGCAGCCGCCCGCAATCTCGCGACGCCACCGATAGAAGCGCTGATGTCACGACGCTGGCCTATGTATGTACATATACATACATATGTATGTACGTGTGCACGCACGAGATTATGTACTGGGTGTATCATGGAGTTGCGTAGACGATTGATTCTTCCGGAGAGTCGAAGGACATTGGAAGAATGCGTGAATAAAGCGGCACAGCTGATTTCGTATCAATGTGTCTGTGAATATAGAAATAATGTAACCCCTCAAAAGAAATTTAATATTGTAAGTATTAAATGGATTAATGATATATCATTTATTTTGAATATTAAAAGCACTGTTATTAGTACTTTTTATATTTAAAATAAGTAAAATTAATCACTAACCAATTTAATACTTTATAAAGTATTATATTTTTCTAAGGTCTATATAGTTCTTCTTATAGAAATTCAAATTGATTCTAGTCAATTTAATGTTAAAAATTATTTGTATTAATGAATATTAAAAGCATTGAACAATATAGAATATTATATATATATATATACATATAT